ATCACTAACTTTCTGTAGGTATGTGAAGAATTATACTTGACACCTAGGAACAACAACAAGAAGTACATCTAAAAATTAAAAGTAATGGGTCTAAATTTATTTTAAGTTTTTGGAATTGGTAGGATAATTCTGAGAACTGTTGCACCAAGGATTAGATCTTACTTATACATTTTGCATCCAGTTCCAGAATATCACTGAGGAGGTTAAGAATATCATCCTGTGAACTACATCCTCACTGCTCGAAACCCCTTGAAAGTGGAGGCCTCCAAGAGTCCAATGTCCTTCCAGTCTGAAGTTGACAGGTGGAGAGGACCAGCAATAGCATTCTTTGCCTTCCCATCCCCTGAACATTGACAGACAGACAGACGGACAGACAGACAGACAGGAAAGCATTCTGGAAGGATCTCTGGTCTCCTCCCCTCCCATCAGAACTACCAGATTCCCCTTCTAAAGCTGGTGAGCATGTGCTCTCAACGTTGGCAAGGGGTACAATCCCAGGAGTATTTAGGGAGGAAAACACCCTACAACTACCAGCACCCTGCAGCCTCAGAGATGCGGTTGGTCAAGGTTGCAACTCTGATTGCAGAGCCCCATCTCCAAGGTCAGCGCTGGAACTCCTTCCAACCTTGGAGCTGGAACTCCGGAAAGATCCTTGGCTCTCCAGGCACTGTCTGGAGTTTGCAGGACTTCTCTTTGAGAGGCTGCTAATGCTGTTTCCAAGCCAGAGGGATCTTCAGACATGTCACCCAGGTTCCCCAAGGACCCTCTCTTCCCCAGCTGCACATTCTCGAGTCCACCAGCTGAGTGCTCCCCCTTCCTTCCTCCAAAGCACGGTCCCAGACGGAAGAACTACTTGTGAGAAGGTGTTGTGCATCCAATTCGTCCTTTTCCTCTTCAACATATTTCTCTGATAAGTGAAGGGAAAACCCAAGAGGACTACAAACTGAGGACAGTGTTCTCTGTCTGCAGAACAGAAATTACATCATGACCACAGAAATTCACCCACTAGCGTGGTTGTGGATAAGGCCTCCAGGGTAACAGCCAGCATAAAAGCCAAAGAACGGAAGGCACTCATTCTCTTTAAGCAAGACAGCCACGCACTCGTTCTCTTGAGAGGGCACAAGACTTTCTGCTTGAACTTTTCACCTGTCACAGCTAAGGCACCTGCTATCACACCCTCCCAAGAAATACCGTATTTTTCGCTCTATAAGACGCACTTTTTCCCCCTCAAAAGTAAGGGGAAATGTCTGTGCGTCTTATAGAGCGAATGTGTGTGTGCCCGACGCCCGGGATGCTGCCAGCCCGCCTGCACCACGTGGCACCACCTGGCCGGCACGCACTCGGCACGCGCTGCTCCACCCCCCCCCCGGTGCAGGTGAGAGCTGTGCCGCTCAGGGGGAGGCGTGCGGAGGAGGAGGAGCCGCGGCCTTTAACCCGCTGGCCGCATGGAGAGATGGACTGCTCACCCCCAGCGCCTGGGAAGACCTGCCGCCACCGCCATGCCGCCTGGAAGACCACCGCCGGCACACTGCCGGCCCCACGTGGCACCACCTGACCGGCACGTGCTCGGCGCGCCCCCTCCTCCGGTGCAGGTGAGAGCTGTTAATCACAGGTGGGTGGGTGTTTTCAAATGGGAACCTGTCTTTTAAAGAAGCCCATGGGGAAGTGAGGGGGAATGTGCCTGTGATTATCAGGAAGCTTTCCATGGATCAGTTATCTGTTAGTTGATCAGACACATTTTTTTTTGGATCAGTGGATATTTGAACAGCATTACCTTCGTGTATGAAGTTTATTCTTCAAAGGCTACTTAGTCCGCTGTGTGTTTGATTTACCATACAATATCTCATTTTTTGTCAGAAGTTTTTTTCTATTATTTACTAGTAGGGCAGCGTGGGCATTACTGGCTTTTTTAGATTTGTTACTGAATTGTCTGCAGCAGCTCTTGTATAACTGGTGTAGATTGTGGATTCCTTCAGTAATTCCACTACTAAGAAAGTGATGTCAGTGATTGTGAGCAACAGAGCTTCATAAATTCTGACTCTAGTGATGATGAGTTCTATGGGTTCTATGAAAACTAGAAGAGCACTCGAACTTTAAAGTCTCTTTTGTTAATGACAGTGATGATGGTTCTTAATGCTACTGTTGACTGCTGTTCACTTGACAAGGTTGAAATACGGTATTACTGTATTCTGTTATAGTTTATTAAATAGTTTAGTAAACCATTCGATTCAGAATATTTTTTTTCTTGTTTTCTTCCTCTAAAAACTAGGTGCGTCTTATGGTCAGGTGCATCTTATAGAGCGAATAATATGTTAATCTTGGCTGTAGAGCTTTTGACTCACCTGTCCGCCCAGATAGCAGCTTAGTAACAGATGCATTACTGTTCCAAGCTGACAAGCACTGCGACAAAAATATGTTAAGGGAGTGGTTTGTGGTTTTGTCTGGTTCAACTGCGACCGTTCTGGGATACACCTGCTGTAGCATTCCTTTGATCCATCCTGGAGAAAGCTTTTGTATGGTGTAATCCTTGAAAATCCATCCTGTGCTGCTTCCAGGACAGTAGTAATCCCAGCCCTCCAGGGACTTCTAAAAGGCAATGCCCCGTTCCCCTGCGACTGCAGCTTTTCCCCAACCACAAAACAGTCTGTTTCCCAGCTTTTGTGCCTTCTAAAAGGCTGAGATTCCTCCCTTAAGGTTTTGTTAGTGCCAATATTTAAATACGCTGCATTTTTGTTTCTTTGACTCTATCTCTTCCACCTTCAGTCCTGGGCACCATTGGAACCCCAAGAGCTTCCCAACATGGACATCCCACACTGGAGAGCCATGTGGCATAGTGGTTAGTGTGTGGGACTGGGACTTGAAAACCCAGATTTTAGTCTCTACTCAGCACTGAAAGTTCACTGGGTAACATTGGGCCAGTCACAGACTCTCAAACTAAGCTATCTCACAAGGTGGTTGTTATGATAAAACAGAGAGGAGAAGAACCTTATAAGATGTCTTGAGTTTGATACAAAAGGAAGAAGGCAGGGTATAAATGTAACAATGCGGTACCTATTTATTTCTTGTTTTCTGCTACATGCCAGCAGTTTTTATTGCCTTTTTCAGCTGTTGGGACAGAGTCCAGTTAAAAGAAAACAGTGTCACCTCCTAGACAAATGTAAACTGGGAAGAGTCAGTAATTCCATCAAAATATGTCCTGTACAGAGAAGACTTTGGCATAAGCATGTAAGAACAGCCATGTTAGATTTGGCCCATCCATGGTCCATCCAGCCCAGCATTCTGTACACACAGTGGCAAACCAGCTGCCCACAGGATCCCTCAAGCAGGACGGATGCAAAACTTCCACCTGCCCAAGCAGGCTTTCTCTTCTTTTAAAGGGCCTCTTTCCTGCCAAGGCTTCAGTATGCGGGATTTATGATTTCTCATCAATGCACTCCAAGTATACCAAGACGAAGGGACTGTGCAGGTTTCATGCAGTCTAAGCGCGAAAAATGGGCATGATAGCAGTTTAGTTGTAGCCCCCCCCCCCCCGGCAAAAGACATCCCAACCCAAGGGCTGCTGGTTGCAGAATAGTGGGGTTTTCTTTTGTCCCCTGGGGTCAAACTGGGCATGATACAAAACACTTCTTCAGCAACCACCCTTCTGTTTTAATTAATAGCAGGTGAAGGGAAGCAAATTATCACTGGGATTTCAGTGTGTGGAGAGAGGAAATTTCACCCTTCCTACCCCACTCTGGTAGCTGCTGTTCTCCCAGGAAGGCACCATTGGGTGCTCTCCTTCCAACAGCAGGCCTGCAAGGGAGTGATTTTTATGATCAGAGGCTTGCCTGTGAATTAAACCTCCCTGTCGATCCACACCAGTCCCAATGAGACCACCCAACAATTGCTCATGTTATTTAGTATCACTACTATTAATTAAAAGCCTGACATAATTGGTAAACACACATTCCATACCACAGCTAGTTTGGATTACTGAAGGAAAAGAACTCTTTATACATTTATATATAGTTTAGATGTTCAAAGATGTTTTTTTCTGGATATATTGCCCAATGTAAAATGAATAGTTTAAAAATTCAGATTGCTGCTAAGCACAGGAGTTTCAACTAAAGGTAAAAAAAACCCCTTTGAAGCCACAGTGTTTGCTATCCTGGAAAAACTACTTTTTCTTCCCGCAAAATGCAAAGGTTTCTGCTGAGATGTTTGCAAATTGCTCAGCAGAGTCTGGGGCAAGAGTGAGCTTTCCCATCTGGTCAAGTTGATAGAAGAAAGAGCTTTGAAAAGTTAGAGGAAGGGTGAAATAGAAGGTTGGAAGGAAAGAAGACTCAAACAGAGAAAACTGCTTGCTGAATCCTAGGGTGAAATGGGATGCAGAGGTCCCGAAAGCGAGCTGAACATGAAAACTCCGAGTAGAATATTGCTGGGAAGGGCTTGGAAAATAGAGACACAGCCTAGTTAGGAATGACTGGACGGAGAAACATAGAGTGAGTCAGAAGGGGGCTCCTGGGCTATCTAGTCTGACCCCTGGCTCCAGCCGGCCCCGCTCACGACATGCCACCATGTATCTGTAGCCCGTATGATCATGGTCTTGTTTGTGTGTGAACGCTGTGACCATCCAACTGTTAAAACCTTTTCCCCAAAATTAACACTTCTCCAGTCAGCTTTGAAACTTGTATCCTTTAAACTTTGTGAGTATTTTCCTCATTGGATTACTCACCCACCTGTAAAAGGCAGACCCCATATTACCTAAAGACACTTATAAGAGATTTTAAAAACTGTCTGGTGGATGCAGCCAGGGCAAATAATGCTTTCTACTTGTTGGCAGCAGAAAAGTACTGGAAAGCAACAGGCTCGTCAGCCTGATCTCCCTTCCACATGCAGCTGATCCTGGGATCCTGTAGCTGATCCTCCAGGTAACACAGCACCCCAGTCTGCAAGTGGCAGCCCGTCAGCTCCAGAAGAAGCGGCTCCCAGAGACTCACAGACGTGACTGAAGTCACTTATCACAGCAGCAGCAACACAACGTTTTAATTGTCAGATTCCGGTGACAGTCAGGTGCAGGCAAGCGAGCTCCCCCAGCTCTGCAAACCCATAATTCAGCCCCAGGGGAGCCAGAGCCCAGCCGGACCCATCCCAAGGCACCAGGCAGGCCTCACGTTCCGTCCACATGCGACCCAGGCACTGCAGTTCTTCTGGGCGCCTTTCAAACGGTCCACTTCAGGCACCTGTTTGCAAGAGAGAGCAGGGAGTTCAGAAGAAATCATGAGAAGGCAAACCGTAAGCGCTTCGTAACAGCCACGCCACATGCACCAAAGAAAATTCAAGGAAAAACCCGCTCACGGCCTCCTCCAGTGTGATGCTTTCTCAGTGTGTCTGATTGTAATTCATGCCTTGGCATGATGGGAGTTGTAGGCCAGCACATTGGGGGGTTGCCAGGCTGGAGGAGGCTGCCTTTGCATAGGATCATGCTGGTTAAGTGGTCTCAGGTGCTGTATTCGCATCACAGACTCCCTGGAGGGGTGGATACGAAGCCCTGTGATCCCACTTACATTCCTATATCTGGAAAAAGGGGAAAAAAGCACAACTAGGGATGATCAGGGATTCTGGACCCCCTTGAAGGCAAGGGAAGGCTAAAGAATTGGCATATTTTTAACTGAGATAGAAATCTAACCATGAGGCTGTGGGGAGGTGTGCCAAGAGATTTATAAAGCTGTCCCTTCGTGCAGAGACAGTGGACAGGGGCAATTTTTTCTCCATTTCTCATAATGCTGGAACTCAAACATCCACTGGAATTGACGGGCAACAGACGGGCACAAGAGATTCACAACAGGAAAAAGAAGAGGCAGCCCCTCAGATAATCATTACTTGATTTTTGGAATCCGCGCCCACTGACCGACCACAGTCTTACAAGGTTTTAAGAGGAATTTGATCTTCTGTTCTGCATTTTCCTCCAATCACATGGAGGAAATGCTAGCAGTGCATTTCTGAGCCTCTCTGTCCAGGCTTGCCTGTGTCAATCTTCATTGCCTCCCTGCACCCTCCAAAAGAATTCTGACATTCTGTTCTTCCTTCTCTATTCGCCTGGGGCGATTCCTAATCCTCCCAGGCGACCAGGAGAGCTGCCATTTGCAAGAGTGCTTTACCGAGTTTCCTGGTGTGTCCCCAGACATTTGACGCAGCAGTAGCGAGCCCCACAGGACACACATGTGTAGTTCGACGGGAAGCCACAGACGGTGCAGAAGTGGCGCTGGGGCAGGTTGGAAGGGGGAGCACACGCAGTCAGGTAGTTTGGCCCGTCGCTCACATTCAGGTTCTGCTGGGAAGCAAAAGTGGGAGGCCAAAAATGAATTCAAATTGTGCCTTCTTTGGGGTGGGAGCTGTCAGGCCACTCCAAGCTGCCGCCTCCTGACGCCACCTCTGTGCTTTCTTCTCTGTGCCTGGATCTGCCATTCGGTTTCTGGGCAACGCGATGAAATGTGACCAGACTCCGCCTACCGTGTTTCCCCAAAAATAAGACCGGGTCTTATATTAATTTTTGCTCCAAAAGTCGCATTAGGGTTAGGGTTACAACAACTATCTACATTTATTCAAGTACAAAAATCTGCATTTATTCAAATACAGCCACATCATCTTCTTCTGGAACATCGTCATAACTCTCCAAACCACGAATTGTGTTGCAACAGATGTACTAAATGCGTCCATCTGGCTGACAGTCTTAACCGGGGCTTATTTTGGGGGTAGGGCTTACATTACGAGCATCCTGAAAAATCATGCTAGGGCTTATTTTCCAGTTAGGTCTTATTTTCGGGGAAACAGGGTATGTAACCCAACTTTGCCTGCCTTGATCAGAATCCTTGCTCTGACAAGTCCCTCTTGGATGATAGCTGCCACCCCGGAGAGCCTCCAGTAGCCACAGAATGGGACACAGTTGTCAAGATCAGCGAATGGGAGCAAAGGGTCAACACAGGAAGTTGCTCACATTGAGGAAGACCACCAGTCCATCTAGCTCAGTGCTGCCTTCAACACCAATTAGCAGTGGCTTCCCAGGGTCTTGGGCAAGCTGAGGATGGCACGTTTTGAACCCGGGGTCTCCTACACACAAAGCATGTGCCCCACCATTGACCTCCAAAGCACTGGGATGAATCCTTTTGGAATCCATCCCTCTAGCATCCTCAGAGGCCCTGCAAAGCGAGCTGAACAAAGAGGAAGTCCAGGAACACTCACAGACCCGCAATTGTGCATCTGGCAACCTTCCCCATTGGGGCAGCTGCCCAAATAGCAGCAGCATTGGGGGCAGAAGAGGGGCAGGGCTTGTGCAACATCCTTGATTCCTGCAAGTACCCCCTGAATGTGGGATGTGCTCACCAGAAATTTGGACCCAGGGCCACTTCAAAGCTCAGAGTCCAAGGAGCTGAGCTCAGGGAACCAATGAATCCTACCCCCAGATGAATTCCACACCCCCCCCCCCCCAGAGCAATGGCTTGTTCCTTGAATGTGCTTGTCAGAAATGGGAGCTTGGCCTGACTGCTGAGACAGTCGGACGGTTGCAATGAGGCTGCATCTCCTGGAGCCGTGCCGCTTGGGAGCAGCAGCAGGACCTGAAGGAAGGCTGCTGGTACTTATGGGGAGTTTAACCAAAAAGGGACTCCAGAATCCAAAAAATGGAGACAGAGGAGGTGCAAAGGTTGACTTCCACTCCCCTTTGTAACTGAGGACACGGGGAAAGAGGGGCCGAGCCCCACACGGAACCTCAACCCACCTGGTAAATGCCGACGCACACAGAACCCTATTCTGCAAGCTGTATACTCCTCTGCCTCAAAAGGATGTCTTCATTAATTGATTTATTGATTATCCCACCTTTCTCCCCTTCTGGCGCTCATCTGGTTCCCAGGTGGTCTCCCCTCCATGCTCAGGCCAGCCCCAGTTCTGCTTAGCTTCGCATGCGGGCCACCTTATGTGCCTTCAGGGCACACGCCGGGCACACATCCCCCAAGTCTCCATGCAAAACCAAAAGCACCATTTGCGTCTGGCAGTGTCCCTTTCAGCGTCAGTTTGGACGATTCTGTGTCGAACGGCTGCATTGTTTCAGGGGGCAGCAAAAGGAGAAAGCTGTGAGGCGGAACAGCAAAGGCCGTGGAGGACGGCCAGTTCTCAGCCACCTCCTAAAGAGGTACCTGTTCCTCCAGCAAAGCCTGGAAATTCTTGCGGAAACGCAGCTTGAAATGGTCACCACGTGTTTTCTTCTTCTTCTTTCCTGTAGACACAGCAAGCAGAGAGACAGACGGGGTGAGGAAGAGACGACGGTCAATTTCAGCTACGCTTCTTTAGCCTGAGCAGAACTGGGCACACCGGTCGGTGAATCACGGGGCAGGAGCAACACCTCCAGAAGGAAAGGGTACAAGGCTCAGGGCTGTTTAGCTAAGACCAAAGGCAAGTAAGAGGCCGGGCACTCGACAGGTGTGCACAAGACAAGTGTGTGTGTGCTTGTGAGTGTAAGCTCTGGAGTTTTAGCCTCAGTTTCACTTGGCACACAGTTAGGGGATTTGTGTGTGTGTGAATCCACGTCCAAAGGGAAGGGCAGTTTAAAAGGGTTACAGTAATCATTTCTGTTATTAAAGCATGCTGTTCCCCAGCGTTGCAGTCCTTCCTTCTGACAAGATATTCCCAGCTGGGAATTTTGCATCGTCCTGCTTCTGAGAAAGCTGCTCTGGTGAACGCACCAGATTTTCAGAACTTGTTCCTGGGTTGCAAAGTCTGCTTTTCTTTGTAGCTGTAAGAATGTTCTGTCTTATTTTAATTATCATCATTATTATTGATATTATGGCTGTGTGCAGTCTCCAATCCCACTTATCTTCTTGAGTTTCTGTGGTGTAGGACTGGGAGCAACAGTGCTTCTGTGTCCCTGGGTGACTTCCCCCGACGTCTTTGCATGCCCAGGGCTCAGTTTTCTCTTTCTGAGCAATGGCTCACTGACCGCTGGGGATTCAAAGACTGCTTGGCCTCCCGCAACCCCATTGCCCCACTGGCCACCAGCCTCCCCTGATGCCTCCCTATGCAAGTGGTCAGGATCCGTCTTCCGGCAGTGAGAAGCTTTGCTCTAGGACTACCCTGACTCCATCTCTTTTGATGCTGACAATACCTGAAGTATAAAACTGCCATCAGCTTAGCATAACTAGGGATCTGGAATTTATCTGTATTATGCTTTATATTATTATTCTTATTTATTTATGTAAGCCGTCCTGAGGCTTTCGCAAAAGGACGGCATATAAATATTCTAAATAAATAAAAAAACTATGTGTAAAAGGGAATCTGGGGTTTTTTAAATAAAAATGCTTGTTCTTACTTTGCTCTGTTCATTTACAATTCTTTCAAAATAATAATAATAATAGGAGGAGAATAGCAACTGCAGCTTGACACAGGTGTTCCTGGACAACAAATGGCAATGCTATGATTCTTCTAAATGTCTAGAAATCTGACCTCCGTTTTTCTGCTGTTGCTTCACAACAGCATCAACAAACTGTTTCATCCAATGAGCAGACCTCAGCCAAACCTGCGGGTGATTAAAGTCTCTTTCTTCTGTTCCAGTGACGTTAATGCTTTCAAATATATTTAAGTGTGATCTTATCTGCTCAGCTGATGCTCAAGTGTAAGCTGAGCTAGTTGAACTAGCAAGACATGTCAGGACTGCAGGAAAATGTGGATGGTTCTGCCTCATCCAACGAATCTGACAGCCCATCGGCTGATGGACCTTCTGGACAGGACTGTCCTTCACCTCCCAGCTTTTCCCCTTTTCACTGCTTGCTCCTCAAATATTTTACCCCACACACACACATCATACCATTTAAACCATAAACCTGAGAGCAGAAAATGTGATTTTTAAGCTGCTGGAGAAGCAGTTTCAGCTAGAAAGCAAGATGGATGCAGAGGCTTTAAATAAACTGCTGCCATTCTCCAGTACAAAAACCAGTGTGGTATAGTCACTGCAGAGCTTGGCTGGGGCAGGAGTAATCCCTGCTTGGCCATGGAGCTCACTGGGTGACTTTGGGCCAGTCGGTGACTCCCAACCTAACCTACCTCACAGGGTTGCTATGTGGATAAAATGAAGAGGAGGTTCATGTATGCTGCTTTGGAGGAAGGAGGCTGGGATGCAAATATCATATATAAGGCCTCCGAGGCAGGGCAAACCCCAAGAGAACGAGAAAGGCAGACATCCTCCTATATTCTTTATTTACTTATGTTATACTGTTAATTTTAATTTTATATTATTATGTTTGTATCTCAGTGTAATTTTTTGTATTTAGTGGTAATTTATTATGTTCTATTGTATTTCAATGTATTTTATTGTGTTGTAAGCCGCCCCGAGGCTTCGGCAAGGGGCGGCATAGAAATGTTATAATAACAACAACAACAACAACATCAACACGCAGTTTCCGTTGCGGGGACAGAAATGCACCTGTTTCGGCATCGTCGTCAAACTGAGGCAAGCGCTTCACCAGCTGGGGCATGTTGGCGTGAGGATCGTCCTGGAAGTTGTCGTTCTCCAGCGCCTCCAGCTGGCGGTTGAGGCGCCGCTGTCGGGTCGCCCGGTCTAAGATGCGCCTCTGGCCGGGGTCCTGAGACCGTGCTGTGCAGCGAAGGAGCGAAGAGGGGGTCAAGCAACGCGAGAGCGGTCCAACAGGCAGCCCTAGGAGCAGCGGCGGGGGCCCTCCACAACGTCCTTGCTGTTGCCTCATCCCCTAAAGCAAGGGTGCAGAACCCCTACTTGGCCCAGGGGCTAAACTGCATTTCAGAGAAGCTCCGGGGGCCACATTCTCGTGTGGGATAGGACAGACAGTCACAGCAGAACAGCCAACAAACAGACAGGCAAACAAACGTGCCACCATATTTGAGCTTAAAGTTCTTCCTACTAAGAACTCAGGAGAGGAATTCCATCCCTTTTGGAAAAACAGCACAAATGGTGGGTGGCTGCGGGAAAAGGGCAAAAGACAGCGGAGTGGCCTTCTATGGAGTCCCAGTGGGCTTGCCTTGGTCCCTCAGAGCTGGTTCCTCACCCCACCCTGAGGCCCTCACTTCCCACACTCAAGCAGGAATAGCTCTTTGCCCCTCACAGGGGACCTCTGTGTCTTATTTTAACACAGTTCTCGCCACGCCACGCCATTAACATGTGCATGTGTGGTCTGCAAGCACCATCATGTGGCGAGAACTGGCACTTGCTGCTCCAGAGCATTCTTTCTTGTCCAGCAATTTACCCAGACATGGTCAATATCCACTTTAAGGGACCATATACGGATATTTATCCAATTCAGAGAGTGGTTTGAATTTTTTGTCTGCTCATTGAGGATGAAAGACTGGTGCATCTGATGAATCGTGTTCTAGCCCATGAATATTTATTGTACCATAATAAAACTGGTAGTCTTGAAAGCGGGGATGCTAAACAGGGTTACTGCCTTTAAGCTCTAGAATCATTTCTCAACCTGGTGCCTTCCACAGGTTTTGTACTACAGTTCCCAGCATTCCTGGGCATTGGTCATGCTGACAAGGCTGATGGGAATCAAAGTCCCAAACATTTGGAGGTCACCGGAAATGCTTGGGCACAGTTGTTCACCATGTGAACTGGGGCAGCTTTCAATGTATTACACCAACTGCCTGAAACAAAAAGGTTTGTTTTGCTTTGTTTAAAATCGCCCCGGGTGCAAAATACTCTTACTTGAAAGCACCTTCTTCTCATATCCAGATTATTGAGACATGCCCAGTTTATTGATTGCCCTGAAAGGCACTCTGCACAGGCTCAGAGACATTCCTAGCATTACATGAGTAAGTCCAAATATGCAAGTCTAAGCACTGGATTCATTTAGGACTTAGTTGTGACTCTTCTACTGCAGACTGTCCTCTATTTATCTTTAAATCCTCTGTCAGGTCTAATAGAGGAATGGCTCATTCTGTTTGGTGTCCTTTATTTGAAAAGTTGTCCTGTTCTGTTCCAGTTTAAAGATAAAGAATTTTAAGACATGTTGCCCATCAAGTTTCTTGTGTATTTCTTTTTAAATTATTTTAACATTTAATTTTTAAAATTTCTATTTATATTCTTTTAAAATGTATTGGCACACGCAAATGTTATGCAAATTAAATGTAAAAAGTATGTAAAAATTACATACCAAATGTTATGCAAATTACATAACATTTGGTATGTAATTTTTTTTGTTAATGCGTTTCCATTTTCGGGGCGATTTGGGGGCGATTTATAAGGGGTCATCCATTCCACGTTAATAACATTTGACACCATTTTCCTGGGATGGAACGTGTTCAGCTCAAATTCATAATTAAGCCAGGTTTTTCTTAAACCGAAACTGCTGAGGAATCTGCCTTGGGAATTAGTTTTGCGTGCCCCCTTTTTTTGGAAAGAGCTCCTCCGAATTCCAGATTGTTCCAGTGCAAAATGAACAATCTGGACATGTGTGTCCTTTTGCAATTCGAGCCATTCCGAAACTGAAAAACACCCCATCACCCTTCATATCCACCCATCCTCAATTCTCTCCCCGCGTCCCAATCGGAAATACCTGATACTTTCTTTTCCACCATGATGCACGAAGGCAAACAAAAGGCTACAGCTCCTTACGCAGTCCTGACATAAACTTCCGGTTCGAAAGGGGACAGGCTTTTCCACTCTGTTTTCTATCAAAGTGCCATAGAGTTGATATAGAGCGGCACCATTCTGCATTCAGCGCAAAGCCTGTTCCCATTCGTACCGGAAGCGTATATTGCGTTTTGCAGACTCCATTTTTTATCTCTGTGCAGTAAGTGCCAGTCGCAACCCCCCGCCCTATTACTAGAGGCAAATGCATTTCCGCCTGCCCCGTTGGACTATATCACGATGACGTTTTGGCTGAGACAAGGAATGTTTTCCTGGGTCCAAAACTCCGTCGTGTTTCCTCCAAATCCTTCGTAATTGCTTTATTTCTGCGAAGGCGGGGTGCAAATGAGTTTCATTTGAAAGCGAGACGAGGCTCACAAGCAGCTCCCGGGTCCGGAAAATGTTCCCAGTTCCAGTCTTCGGGCTATGATGACAGTGATATCATGGTAAAATCGTTCTTCTGACCATGTGAAGAGCGCCGGCAATATAATCACGGCCAGATACGAAGGGCGCCGACATAGGATGAGGTGGGGAAGAAAAGGGTGGCGAAAGGATCATAAGCACAAAGGACGGCCCTGAGTACCTCTTTCTAGCCAGTCCGATCCTCAGCGGGGTTTGTATTTTATTCATTTTGAAAGCGGCTCTCTGCATAGGATCGGCGGCGCAAAGCAGCCTGCGAGTCACTCGGACCTGATATGGCTCTATTTGTGCTTAGGCAAGAATAACTCAGTGATTTTGGAAATCAATTGTCAACTCACATACCAATAACAGTTAAATTTTGTCTTGAATCGGGTGGGAGGGATGGTCCGCTCTTCTTGGACCTCCTACAGGCGGCAAATCGAACCATGTTCTTGAGAATGCTTCCTCGGAAGAAACCCTCGTGGCGACCCATTGGGTTTACTCGCAGGTAAGTGAGCTGAGAATCAATCACTACAGCTCATTCTTTAGAGATGACAGATAGCTAGGAGGCGGGACTTTTGCTCGAACACTGTTTCTGGAGATAATATATGGCCACCATATAGGTAGCCCTTGACTGCAGCAGGGTGCAATCCTAGGTATGTTTAGCCTGGCTGGGGAATGCAGGGAGTTGCGGGACTTTTTTCCTGTCTGAACGTGCCTAGGATCGCGCGCTTATTTGCCATAACTTTTCCAATCGCGCTTTTCCAGCTCTCGAAAAGCACAGCTCTGATCGGGGCGAAGCGCACTCGGCAACGTGGCGCGCTCCTCGGAAAGCACAGTCTTTCTCGCCACCCTGCCTCTTCCATCTCTCCCAGTGCTTCCTCCCCCACCTCCGCCGTCCCACTTTGCTGTCACCCTCCAGAATTTTCCAGACTCCCAATTGGCCTGGAGGGAAGAGTAAGGGAGGAGGGGAGCCCCGCGCCTCGATTGGCTCACCCCTGGCGTGGGCTGCGCCCTGATTGGACAGTGGAGAAGACCAACTTTCCCAAAGCTTGCCATTGAGAAAAACGGAAAGCGGGCGCTCCCGGGGGAAGAGTCAATTCGCCCCTTCTGGCTCGGCGGCGATCGCCGGGACGGGAAAGGGGGGTGCGCCCCGCGCCCGGCTGGGGAGGGAGGTAGGACGGCGGCCGCGGATCTCCCGCTCCGAGGATCCTCGCTGGCTTCCACCGGCCCGTGTTCCGCAAGTTCCCGCAGGAGGGCGGCGGGGAGGAGCCTGGCTGACCCAGCCCCGCCGATCGCGAGAACAAACATAAAATCCCCGGGCGGGCCCCGCAGGCTCCTTGCTCGGTGCGCGCTTCGCCTGCGCTATGGGGCGGCGGAGGACCCTCTTCCCGAGCGCCGCGCTTGTCGCCGCGACGCTGGCCGTGCTGCTGAGGGGCGAAGTGGCCGGCGGCGCGAAGCAGGAGGCTGTGGATCCCGGTACGGTCGCGGGGACGAAGAGTGGGGCTGGGAAGGGGGAGGCTCAGTGGGTCGTGGGGCGATCCTGCCAGCGAGTAGGATCCGGGCGGGCTGGAGACGGTTCGCCCGCGCAGGGAAGGGGGCGCGTTGTTGGACGGGGCGCGCTGCGACCGAGGATCTGCCTTCAGGCGCCGCGCGCGCCTCCTCTTGCGCCCCTCCGTAGATGCCCGTGCTGCGCCTCCCACGGCCTCCCCTCGCCTCCTGGGTCCTTCGGGTGTTTGGAGCTCCAGGCCCCATCCTCCCCAGCCAACGTGGCTGCAGCGGGGGAAGATGGGACGTTTGCAGCCCAACTTATCTGGATGCAAGGTCCGGCCCAGCAAGTTGGGCGCCCCACATGCTCCCTTTTGGGGAAGGGGAGGGAGAGGGCAAAGCCTTGCAGCAAAACCTCACTGGCGTCTCCAAGTTCGGCCGCCTCCCCGGGGCAGGGGGTTAGCGGTGGGGGACGAGAGGCGCCAGGCTGGGCGAGGCGGCGTTCACAAGTCCCTGGGGAGAACCCGTGAAGGGCCTTGCGTCTTCTGAGTGGCGAGTCGCAGTCCGTACAGCCTGGCACGCCGTTGCCCAGGCAGCCTGGTCTGCGGGAGCGGGATGGGGCAAGCTGGCAGTCCCCGGGGAGGTAGGAGCTCCCCAGAGCGGCCAGCATCGTTTTTGCTGAGCTTACCCAAACTGGGCATCTCGGGGAAGGCTGCGTGCCCGGGAAGGCAGATCTCAGCAGTGCCGGTGGGAATCCTGGGCCATTCCTGCTTGCCGCTTTCGTCCCCTGAACATCGAGATCCACATGAGTGTGGGAACTGACCGTGGTGGCTGAGCTGGAGGAACAGGGCATTCTGCGCGTGTCCAAAGTGCTCTCTTCTTACAAGGCTGTCCGAGTCTAGGTTGGTGAAGGGCAAGCTAGCTGAACGGATTCCCTCCTTCAGTGAACCTCCCTTCTCAGGGCCGGCATCACCTGCCGCCCTTGCGCCACAGACTCTTTCCCATCATTGCCCCCCCCCCCCCGTGCTTTTTGATGGACGGAGAGCCAGCAAGCAAGGAGATGCACCGTTTCCAGCATCTCCTTCTCTCTGTTGCTCCGGTTTGGGCCAGAGCAGAGACGCAGGGGAAGAAGCAGGGCGCCATGGGGCAAAAGACGAACAGCCCCATGCTGGCTGTGAGCTCTCACCTGGTGCCCATCCCTGCCATCCGTGACGCCAGGGCCAGTCCTTCTTATTATAGCAGAGCCCAGCCAAACCTAAGCCCAGGCTATCTTGAAATGCAACCCCACGTTTCATGGGAAACAATGGTGCAAGTTGGAGAATTGAGGGCACCCAGGAAAGGAGGATAGAATTTGTTGTTTTAATTCTTTCTAAAGCGTATCTATGCACATCATATTGATGCGAAAAGAGTTTATGCCTGGAATAGCAACCATGTAATATTTTAGTCTCCCTTGGAAAACTCCTTCATTGTATTCCTCCACATGCAATATATAATTCATAGGGTTCCTATAAGTCGGAGATGATTTGAGGGCACACAACCACAAAAATCAAGGAAGATCTCTTACGTGTAAGTTTATGAGCAGAGGTTGTCTGTTTTTCCAGAAGCTTTTGTAATGAGCCACATTTAGCATCCGGCAAAGTTTGTCAGACCTCTTGAAGTAAATCAAGGCAGACTTACAGGAGAAGGCAAGTGCTATTGAGCTAGTCCTGCTTGCAGTTAGCCCCTGGATCTGGTTAGTCCCTGTGGGAACTGAATGCCAGACTAGATAGACCTTTAGGCTAATCTAGGAAGACCCTTCTTAAGTTCTTGAGGAAGGCTTCTGGTGAGAGTTTAGCAATTGTCGAAGTGGCAGAACGTGGCCCTTCTTGATTCATTGGGCTTTGAAAAGTTTATTTTTGAGATGTCATCCGGGCATGGTTTGTAACTCCCCCAGAATTGCTTCAGTGAGCAGAAATTCACTGCAAAAGCTGACATGGTCTTTGCCCCATTGCGTCACTCTGTAAATTCTCTTGGGTCATGAACATTTCCTCACTGGGTCCTGAGAAAGTTTGAGGAAGTACGTTTTCCTGTCCTTGCTTCTGCTTGGGATGTCAAAATCGCTGAGGCAGCATCATGCAGAATTTTCAACAGTACACCTCAGGCTGCAATCCTCTGCAGCTTTAGACAGAAAAAAATCTATACTGCAAGCTGTAGGATTTATTCCTGGCTAGGCCTGTGTCGGATTGTGCTCTTGACTGCTTCCAGAACCCTGCAATGGTTCTTCATGATGGTGGAGGTGGAGGAATTGGTCAGGGGGTAAGATCTGCTGGGTTGGATCACTCCAAGGATTCCAACAGCAGCTGGCCAGATGTGCAAGAAGGAAGCTATGGAGATGATGGCCCTCCATTGCTGCCTGTCCCTGGATTGGGTCAATCTGGGAATTTCGGCAGTGGATGGGTTTACCCTTGAGATACCTCCCTTAGCGTTCCTTCCAATGGTGCATCCATCATTTAGGATCCATTTATTTCCTGGAAATGGAGACTGCTCATTTTCGGAGCAGTGCCTTTAGAGCCCAATTCACACATGACCCATTTTTAAGCATGCACCAAATTGGTTTCAAGTAGGGCATTGAAGCCGGTGGTAGATGGGACCGAGAACGGAGTGTCTCTTCCTGACACCCCGTCCTAGGAATGTGGGAAGGCCCCTTACACTGAATCGGACTTTGGAGCCATCCAGTACGGTCAGCACTGAGCGGCAGCGGCGGTGGGTCTCCATGGTTCAGGGTTCCTTCCCAGCCTTACCTGGAGGTGCAAGAGACGGACCGTTTCACATCCAGCTGTGCTCGTACTGAGCTTGGCTCTCTTGGCTCCACTTCTCCCCGCCCAGGGACGGGGCAGCTCACCCTGATGGAGGTCTGAACTGGTTGCTGGCCAAAAGCTACTTGAAATTCACGCAGCCTTTGGCCCGTGCAAGGCCCACCCCGGCCTTCAAGGAAAGCTTTCTCTGCTGTGGAGGGACGCGTATTCCTCATGGTCGGAATATCATGGGCAAAATGAGAAAGAGTTGCAACATGAACAATTGACATGCAGGGCAGTCCATCTATGCTTGCTTAGAGGTCTCTCCTATTGTGTTCAGTGCATCAAATTGAGAGAGTAGCTCCCTCAATTCTCACTCAATGCTTGACACCATTTTCCTCGCCTTATATGTGTGAGAGAGAGCATTTTTCCCTTATCCAGGGACCTGATTTGAGGGGATTGGAATGTACAGAACTTGGGAAACACTTGCTGTTAGGGACTGAGGCGGAGCAAAACAGCTTGCAATTTTGCCAGGATTCTGTCCTTGTTAGGCCTTTCTCTATCACTCAACGCAATCTCCCCCAGCCTGGCAGCCTTCCAGATCTGTCAGACTACAACCCCCATCGCCCCCAGCACAGCGGCCACGAGCACTGAGCACAGAAAAGGCAGACTTAGCTCTCCAATAAACATTCCAGGGAGACGGATCTCCTCCCCGTTCCTCTCCTGCCTCCGCCTATAATTATTTCTACAGAAATCGCTGGATCGCATTTCAGGGGGCTGGCGGCTTCGGCCATTGTGAAATGTTGACCTTGCCGCTAGAAGATATTTACTGCTGGTGTTGTGGAGACAGCCGTCCAGATTTGGAGACGAGCCGCTAGATCTCTGTGAATAGACTGCTGGCAGACGGGGTACTGAGGGGTAATGCTAGCTGGAAGGGACCGAGGGGCCCTTGGCTGGTTAGGGATGTTTAAGGAATCATGTGAACTCCCACATGATGCGAGAGGAGAAAATCCCGTTGCTAGCAATTCTTTTCCTTTCCCCCAAAATTCATTCCTTTTAAAAATGTGCGACTTGTGAGTTATGAATGCTGAATTCCATGTTGGGGACCCTCTTCTGTGTGTGTGTGTGTGGGGGGGGACTCTTTGCACTGGTGGGTGCAGCTGAGAGCAAGACCCAAATACCCCCAATTCCTGGCCATCTAGGGGGCTCCGTGGGGCTGGTTTTGGCCCATGGGACTCTGGTTCCG